GACCTAGGGTGACTGCGTGTAATGTTTAGTTAGACCTAGGGTGACTGTGTGTAATGTTTAGTTAGACCTAGGGTGACTGCGTGTAATGTTTAGTTAGACCTAGGGTGACTGTGTGTAATGTTTAGTTAGACCTAGGGTGACTGCGTGTAATGTTTAGTTAGACCTAGGGTGACTGCGTGTAATGTTTAGCCAGACCTAGGGTGACTGCCTGTAATGTTTAGTTAGACCTAGGGTGACTGTGTGTAATGTTTAGCCAGACGTAGGGTGACTGCGTGTAATGTTAAGTTAGACCTCGGCTTATGATGCGCAGCACGCGTGAATGCTGGAAAATAGGCCTCTATAGGATTAAACATTAGTCAAGTAAGCTTAATCAGCAGGGCTCAAAGAACTTATAACAAACTTGTTCGACGATTCTCTGATTACTGTGAATGTAGAGATTATAATTCTGAATAAGTCTGATGTGGTCCATGAATTTACGGTTGGGGGTGGTGGCTGGGAAAGCTGCGTGGCTGGGCCGTCGTCTCGATGACTATCACCAACAGTTTCCTCTCAGGCTTTGTGTTCTCGACATTTTATGGTGCCTGTCATTAAATTGAGTCTGTTTTTCTTACCCCACCTCCCTTTCAACGCCTTTGTTTTCTTTACCCGCAGTCGGGGAATCCTTCACAAAACAGTCACGTGTCCTCACATCATCGGCCAAAGGGACCCCCGCCCCAAAGGGAGGTCACTAGAATGTCAAGGCCATGAGATGACTGCGTCCCTTCCTCTTCTTGCAAAGGTTTATTTATGTAGACGCACGCTCCGTGTACGATCTAATCACTCGCTAAGGAGCCCTCCCGAGCACCGTGCGCTTAGGCGGAGACTTCTGTACTTTTCATTTGGTGTCATCATAGTTATGTTCGAAAGATAGGCCTACATGTATCTGACATTTTGCAAAGCGTGAATAAAGTGTCATTGTTTCACCACTAGCACTAGCATGCATTTTGAGTCAAATTGAATCTCCTGAATCTTTGTTTGCCAAAATTTTCAAAAAAGAAAGTAAGATCGGCCTATATGAAAATGGAAAGTTTTTCAAGCTTTCAACTCTCGATGACGACATATAGCAATATGTTGAAAGATAATTTAATCTAAAGCACCAGAATTTCTTGTGCTCTTTTTTAAACTTCCAGAAGATCATTTGTAGCCACACAGAGTGTAAAAACGTGAACAATAAAAGTTTCACAACAAAATGAAATCAAAATTAGAACAGCACACAAACAACCACAAAAAGTAACAAATACGGGCGCATGTCCATTTATCCGAAGATTGGCCATTTTAACCCTAAACGTGTGTAATTCAA